AAGTGGATACTTCAGGCTGTACATATACACAGGAGTACAAAATATCCTTGTCGAGGTGAAACAGTGTATGGTCAAACATGATAAATATAGCGTTTTCTGTAACTTTAGACCATTTCATGTAATCATAAAACTCTTTCTTTATCAGTACAACGATACCCCCGGAAGGTCTCCCCTTATTAGATATTTTTTGTGCATTTTTTTCAATTAACTCAAAATCACTGAAAATATTTTCTATGTCTAAGTCAAGCGACCAAGTTTCAGTAATACCAATTATATCAAGTGATTTGATATAATCTACGAAACAAGCGTCTGAAAGTTTTTGCACGATACCTGAAATGTTCCAGAAAATAAAATTAACCGTTTCACAAGCATTTTCACAGTCGTTAGTCTCATTCATAACACTTTGATGCGTCAAAGAACGTCTCACATGATCCTGGCCCTGGCCACCTCCCTAGCGGGTGTGGTCTCTGTCAGTGGGTCGCGATGACGATCTCAGACCCTGTCTCGTGCCCCCGCGGTCTCGGTCTCCGCGATTGTCCGACCTCGGTTTACTCCGAGTGTCCCCAGATCTACCTTGGTCTTCCTTAGGGTCCTGCATTATCTTGCCCCCCTTATAGTAGAAGCGGGTGTCGGGGTGTGCATCTCTCAGGCGGTTGAGTTCTTTTCGCTGATAGGTGGTGAGATCATTGGCTATACCAACACCCTGCTCTTTAAGTACACTCCTCAATTTGACAGAATGCCACTTATCCTCCCAGTGGTTCATACGGACGATAATCGGTCTTGTCTTATCGCTCTTTTTGCCGATCCTATGGGCTCTCTCAGTGTCTCTAGGTGTAAGGGGTGGGAGATCATTAGTCACTCTCGCTTTATTGAGAATATCGATCACTTTGTTCTTGCTTTCTGTGTAGGTCTAATTATCACCAGTTTCCTGGACATTATACAACACCATGTTATTCCTCCTGCTACGCTGTTCCTCTAGACGTGTGTCTAGATTGTCTAATTGTGTCTCTATATCTGTTGTTTTATCATTTAAAGTGTCAATATCCATGCTAATCACATCTTGTTCTTGTTTATTAGTGTAGATTTCATCTCTTAGTTCATTGATGTCTAATTTTATAGATTTTATGTCCTCTTTAACCGAACAAATATCTTTAGAAAGTCTATTTTCCGAGTCCTTTATCTGCCGGAGGATTACCCTCTGTACCTCGTCTAAATCGGTGGTAGGTCCCGGGTTTGTCTCGACATCTCCAGAGAGAAGAATAATGGGTGATCTTGACACTATTCGCAGGGAGGGGTGGGGGTAGGAACAGACGAGTACGATCGATACTGAGCCGGGGTGTGCTATCCGTGACGTCACTGCTTGGACACAAATGTAAACAAACAGTTTCTGGATGGCAAAACTCACTCGGGTAGTCTTTGTAGCTCGCACACTGTTCAATATATCGAATCAGGGAGAATGATAAGATGAGATGCACAGACAAGAACACAAAACATGCGTTGAGTCGGAGCGGCATGTCAGAGCCAGCCGTGAACGGTGTATACCTGTCAACATGGCTGATGTGTCGGGTACCACTAGGGTGTGAAAAAGTCCCAATCCTTGCTCTGTAGAGCACTATATCTATCATTTTTCACATGAAACTCTTCACTGATCCCTTATGGATGTATACGATATAGTTTTAGATTCTGGTTATTATTTACCCGATATTTTCCCTGACTGCTCTTTTTCCGTGACTCGTCTCTAGGGGCGCATAACTCTGGTCATTCTTTTGCATTGACGTTCTATGTTATCATTTGATGATCTCATGAGTGATCTTATGAGTGAATGATCTCATGATTCCATGAGTGAGTGAGTGAAAAATCACGAATAAAAAGTCACATCGGCAATATTTCAGCCATATCGTGACTACGATCGTATGACGTTGTTATGGCCAAAATTATGAAATTATACTCCAGAAGTATTTATTTAATTTTGTGGGAATTTCATGCAAAAGGTTTATTTAAATTTTGACCGTTTTTTGTTTTTTATCATGTGTAATTGCTTCCATTTGAGTATGACGCAATTAAGGGGCTGGTATGTTATGGCCAAAGTTATGAGTTGGAATTATTTTTATGTCAAAACTTTAATTTTTGTGCGAAACTAAATTGGTCTACATTTTGGGATAGTTAGCTCCAGCCAGGGGCCAAGGGAAGTAATCCTATGAGTTGAGACAGGACTAGAGATGTGAGCACATGGTCAGAGGGACTCTTAGTGGTGTTAGGTGTGGATTTGGATTTGGAGTGTTGGCTCTATATGTTTAAGGATTTGAGGACCTGCATCATCATATATATTAATGTCAATCATTCAAGGACTGATGAAGAATAAAAGTCAAGTCAACTGTATTGAAGGTATTGGCATTTTTTGTTGAAGAAGTGCATGACATGTGACTTTGAAGTTGAATTGAATTTGAATTGAGTATAGACTCATTAGAGAGGAGCAAAGGATTTGGAAACTACATTTCATTGACATTAATATGGTTATGACTTTCTAGAATTGAATACTAGAAGAGGATAAATTTTGAATGTGGAAAACAAGCCATAACTCAGCATGAGCTATCTTGAAAGTGTTAGACCAAAACGTCAGCTAAATTTTCTGACACAGGTTTAGAATATCAAAAGAAGGTGAAATATGATAACTTGAAACTGACTTTGAGGAAAGTTATGAACAATTTGAAGTGTGTGGATGAACTTATATCAGAGGGTGCAGATTATGAAGTCGTCAGAACTGAATACAGTAGCTTTCTTCTTGTATTTGAGGAATTGTTTTGTGATGAAGAGGAATATTTCAGGCTAGCAAATGAACAAGAAAGACAAGAGTATAATGATAAAACTGATAGCAAAAGAAATGAGTTCATGCTCTTAAAAGCTCAAGTTGACAGTTTTATTGAGAACGGAGCTAGAAAACTGGTCAACAATACAAGAAGAATTGGACCCCATGATAGCGTGTCCCAGACAAAGTCAAATAAAACTAGTTTATCACAGGTGACATCGGTGACAGCTGCTCGCATTAGAGAGGAGCAAAAAAAAGCTGAAGTCTTGGTTAAAATAAAGGCTTTGAAGAAATTGCAGGATTTAGAAATCTCCAAGATGAAACTTAAAATGGAAGAAGAGAGGATGTACCTAAAAAGAGAAATGGCAATAGCAGAAGCTAGAACAAAGGTTTTAGAAGATTATGAAAATTCAAGTGTAGCAAGTACTTGTAGGTCCCAAAGAATGAGACCAAGTCGTAACAAAGGTATCAATACAGAAGATAGAACTGGTATTCATTCACCAATATATCAAGAGAGACACAAGTCTGCAGACAGTAGTGTCATTAGTGAAACCATGAAGAAAGAAGTAGATACCAGACCATACATACATGAAGAGGACAGTAAACAAACAGTTGATGAGAGACTGCGATTAACACAAGGCATGTTTAGAAAACAGTGCTTCACTGAACAGAAACCAAATCACAGGGAGGTTAATTATAAGCACTATAGAGACAATAGAAGAGAAAGATTCTATGAAGAGGAACAGCCATGTTTTCAAGGTGGTTACATGGGAGACGCTCTCAACCTGAACAGGAGGATAGAGTCAGAGTGGGAAGAGTTGAACTATGAAACTAATCCACATCCACATGAAATGCTTCAACCACTGCAATTTGTCACAGCGGAGACACAAACACCTAGTAGACCAACCCCCAAACAGCACTCTATGAATCCCGAGGAAGCAATCTCAAGCGTCGTCAATCAGCTCCGTAAACCAGTTCCAGAAATCATCAAGTTCAGCGGTAATCCGTTGGAGTACAACAAATTTATTCGTCAATTCCGGACAAAGGTAGTTGCCTATGCAGAAGATACAGATGAAACTATGAACTTCTTAGAACAGTTTACAACTGGAGAAGCTCACAAAATTGCATCTAGCTTTAGCTACTTGGACTCACGAAGAGGCTATAAAGCTGCGATGAGAGAACTAGAAAGTCGCTATGGCGATACAGAAACAATTGCATCAGCGTTCATCAAGAAGGCTCTAGCCTGGAACCCCATCAAGAATGACAGTGTAAAAGAGCTTGATGAATTCTCAATTTTCCTCACAGAATGCATGAATGCAGTAGAAAGCATTGAAGCTATGAAGGTGTTAGAATACCTCGACAATATCAAAAGGCTAGTCATGAAGCTGCCTTACTACTATCATGACAAGTGGAGAGGCTATGTGGAGAGACGAAGAAGTGAAAAACAGCTGGTAAGATTTCATCACCTTGTAGACTTTGTCAAGCTGGAAGCCAGAAAAGCAAACGACCCAATCTATGGCAAGTTGGCACTAAGGATTGAACACAAACCAGTTCAGAAGACACAACACAGCAATAAGAATCTAGTATATAAAGACAAGCAAATCTCCTTTGCTACTGATCTTCCCACCAAGCAGTACAGTCAGAGTGAAGAGTTACAGTCTCTGACAAGAGCACAAGCTTATCTTGCACCGTGTATTTGCTGCCAGTCAAACCAACGTGGCGTTGAAAGGTGTGAACAATGGAGATCTCTACAACATATCGCCAAGATCAACATACTGAGTACAAAGGTCTTTGCTTCAGGTGCTTGAGACATGGACATGTCAGTAAGTCTTGCCCCCAGAAGGAAGCTGCACTATGTAAGAGTTGTAAGGGTCAACACCTAAGCATTCTTCACAAGGACAAGATTGATGAAAAGGTTGACAGGCAGGACAAGGTTGTGACAAGGCAGGTCGGAGACAACAAAAGTCCATTGAGTGCTTGCGCCGAACTTCACACAGGAAGATGACACAGGGGCTGGTAAAGTACAGTGCACTATGGCTATTATCCCAGTCAAGGTGAGATACAAGGACAGTTTGAAGTACAATGAAACTTATGCATTCCTCGATCCAGGGAGTAGCGCATGCTTTTGCACAGAGGCACTGATGAAAAGGCTAGGTTGTGAAGGAAGAAAGAAGATGATATCTCTCTCGAAACTATGGGTAAGCCGCACATTATATCGACATATGAAATCAGCGGTCTTAGAGTCTGTGACCTGGAAATGAAATCTACAATTGAGTTGCCGAAGGTTTATTCCAAGGAAAACTTACCTGTATCAAGAAACCACATTCCACAACAAGATGATGTTTCAAAATGGCCACACCTATCTGACATCAACTTAAGCAAGAAGAAAATGGAAATACAATTATTGATCGGCAACAATGTACCAAGCGCATACACACCCCAAGAAGTGAGAACAGGACCAATCCATGCACCACATGCAACAAAGACAATCCTTGGCTGGGTAGTATGGAACCTTCTTCGAGATTCTGTGACTGATGTCGACAGCATGCAATATGCCAACAGAATAGAAGTAGCTGCTGTAACAGAAGAGGAAGAAATGAAAAGTATCAACAAGATGTTGAAAGACTCGATGAATTATGATTTCCCAGAACGGACAATAGATGATAGAAAAGAACATTCACAGGAAGATTTGATGTTCCTCAACAAGGTGACACAGTCATTAGATTTCAAAGGTGGACATTACACCATTGGATTACCTTTTCGAAGTGACAATGTCAAGTTACCAAACAACTCAAGTCAAGCACTACAACGCCTTGGAAATCTAAAGAGTAAGATGAAGAAGGATGCAGACTTTTATTCCGACTACACAGATTTCATGGCCAAAATTATCGACAAGGGTTATGCGGAACAGGTGCCAAGCAATGAGTTTTACAGAGGTGACGGACGAGAATGGTACATTCCACACCATGGCGTCTACCATCCCCAGAAGCAAAAGATCCGAGTAGTATTTGATTGCTCCGCGTTACACCAGGGCATCTCTCTGAACAACCAGCTATTACAAGGACCTGACCTAACCAACAGTCTGCTTGGTATACTGTTGAGGTTTAGAGAAGAAAGAGTTGCCATAATGGGGGATATAGAGGCAATGTATTACCAGGTGAAGGTTCCTAAAGATGATCAAGATTTCCTACGATTCTTCTGGTGGCCTGGTGGCGACTTGTCAAAAGATCCCTTGACCTACCGCATGACTGTTCACTTGTTTGGAGCCATCTCCTCACCGACCTGTGCGAACATTGCTCTCAGACAAACTGCTGTTGACAATGAACCTTCCTTTCCAGAAGAAGTCACAGACCTGATACAGAAAACCTTCTATGTGGATGATTTCCTAAAGTCAACGTCAACAGATGAGAAGGCAAAAGCACTTATCCAAGAAGTAACTTGGCTATGTTCTAATGGAGGCTTCCATTTGAACAAGTGGATTAGTAACAGCCATAGTGTCATGAACTCAGTACCCATCAAAGAGCGTGCTAAAGGTACCATGGACCCAAGCCTTGACAAAGACCAACTTCCATCTGAACGAGCACTTGGTGTTCATTGGAATGTAGAAGAAGATACAATCAGATTTGATGTGAACATCAAACCCAAGCCAGAAACAAGAAGAGGTATTCTGTCTGTAGCAAGGTCTGTCTTCGACCCTCTTGGATTGTTAGCACCATTTACGTTAACTTCAAGAATACTGCTGCAAAATCTATGCAGATTGAATATCAACTGGGACGACGACATTGGTGACAAAATGAAAAGGAAGTGGCAAGCTTGGATTGAAGATCTGAAGTTAGTAAGTGAACTTGAAATCCCAAGATGTTACAAACCACCTGATTTTGGAGAAGTTAGCGCTTGTGATCTACACATGTTTTCTGATGCCAGTGATGCAGGCTACGGTGTCGCTGCCTATATTTGCATCACAAACTGTCAAGATGAAATCCATTGCGCCCTAGTTCTTGGAAAGTCAAGAGTGGTTCCTCTAAAAAAGATCACAATTCCACGACTCGAGCTCACAGCTGCAGTTCTCTGTACGACTAAGCAAAGTGCTGACAAGAGAACTTGAATATCCACTGCAACATGTCTACTTTTGGACTGACAGCATGTCCGTTATACGGTACATATGTAATGAAACTACCAGATTTCACACTTTTGTTGCAAACAGGGTTGCGTTGATCAGAGAAGCTACAGATGTTGAACAGTGGAACTACATAGACTCAAAGTCTAACCCAGCGGACATGGCGTCAAGAGGTATCAAGATGAAGAGACTGATAAACTCAAGTATTTGGTGGAATGGACCAATCAAAACTGGAAACCAAGATCAAGAGGACTTGAAAATTGGGATTGATGATCCAGAAGTTAAGTGCAATGTCAATAGCACAATGACTGAAACATGTGATGTGATAGACAAACTATTCCTCCATTTTTCAGACTGGATGAACTTAAAGAGATCTGTTGCATGGATTCTTGCAGTGAAAGAAGAACTTGCGCGACGAGTGAAGATAAAAAAACAAACAGTCACAGATTTCCAAGAAAAGAACAAGAAAAAGAAAGATGAACAGTCACAAAAAATGAAGATTAAAACAAGAGTTGCGAAAGAACTGTCAACCAAGATGATAGATGAAGCAGAAGAGTCCATTGTACAATATGTGCAGTCACAACATTATTCAGCTGAAATATGTGATCTGCAGCAGAAACGGAATTCCAGACAAATCAAGCACTATTCATCCCTGCGCAAACTTGATCCCATTCTTTCAAGAGGCATACTTCGAGTTGGAGGTCGAATTGACAAAGCAGAACTTTCTTATGATTCTAAACATCCTATCATACTGCCAAAGAACTCTCCTATCACTGAAGTCATCGTGAGAGATGGTCACAAACGGGTTGGCCATTTAGGGAAAAACACAATGCTGTCTGAACTTCGTCAAAAGTTTTGGATTGTAGGAGCAGGAAATGTAATCAAAAGTGTCGTGTCTAAATGCATAACATGCAGAAAATATCAGGGTCAAACTCTGGGACAGAAGATGGGTGACTTGCCGCAAAGAAGATTGTCAACTGATGAACCGCCATTTACCAACACAGGAATGGATTTCTTCGGACCAATATTGGTGAAACGTGGGAGAGTCTGTGTCAAACGTTATGGTGTAGTTTTCACCTGTTTAGCCAGGAAGTGGCGCACAGCCTCGACACAGATTCATGTATAAATGCTATTCGCCGCTTTATTGCGAGACGAGGCCATGTGAAATCCATTTACTCAGACAATGGAACCAACTTGGTTGGCTCTCAGAAGGAATTAAAACTGGAAATTCAGAATTGGAATCGACATAAAATCACAAAAGAACTCCAACAAAAGCACATTGAATGGTGCTTCAACCCACCTAGTGGCTCACATTTTGGTGGAATTTGGGAGAGACTCATTAGATCAGTAAGAAAGATTCTTTATTCTCTCATGCAAGAGCAAACTATTCATTTGGATGATGAAGGGCTACAAACTCTGTTTTGTGAGATCGAAGCAATTCTCAACAATCGCCCAGTTACAGAATTATCATCAGATCCCAGTGACCTGACCCCTTTAACTCCAAATCACCTCCTGCTGCTTAGACCTGGTGAAAACTTTCCCCCTGGTATCTTTGTCAAAGATGACAGTTATGGGAAACGTCGCTGGAAGCAAATCCAGTACCTTTCAGACATATTTTGGAAAAGGTGGCAGAAAGAGTATATAGTACTGTTAAATCAGAGACAGAAGTGGTGTTTTCCGAAAAGAAACGTACAAGTCGGAGACGTTGTGCTCATAGTTGATAACACTCCAAGGAACTCCTGGGCTATGGCCCGGGTCCTAGATGTTATGTCTGATGGGAAAGGGCTCGTTCGTGCTGTTCGAGTCAAAACTCGGTCAGGCGAGTACATTCGACCAGTGCATAAGCTGTGCATGCTGCTAGAAAATGACTGAAGACAAGATTGTCTCCCCTGTTCTTCAGTGAATGTGGTGAACTTTAATTATTAATGTTGAATATCACCATTTCAAGACTGAAGATATCTGATGAACTGACATGAACTTTTTTCATTTTATGTCATATATTGCTTTGCATACAGAAAGGTTATCTTTTACACATTTTATCGCTATTCAGCAAATTATATATATTTGTCGGAAGTTTGCGATTTAAGGTTTTAATACCAAACTTCAACTACTCCAGAAGTATTTAATTAATTTTGTGGGAATTTCATGCAAAAGGTTTATTTAAATTTTGACCGTTTTTTGGTTTTTATCATGTGTAATTGCTTCCATTTGAGTATGACGCAATTAAGGGGCTGGTATGTTATGGCCAAAATTATGAGTTTGAATTATTTTTATGTCAAAACTTTAATTTTTGTGCGAAACTAAATTGGTCTACATTTTGGGACAGTTAGCTCCAGCCGGGGGCCAAGGGAAGTAATCCTATGAGTTGAGACAGGACTAGAGATGTGAGCACATGGTCAGAGGGACTCCATGTAGTGGTGTTAGGTGTGGATTTGGATTTGGAGTGTTGGCTCTATATGTTTAAGGATTTGAGGACCTGCATCATCATATATATTAATGTCAATCATTCAAGGACTGATGAAGAATAAAAGTCAAGTCAACTGTATTGAAGGTATTGGCATTTTTTGTTGAAGAAGTGCATGACATGTGACTTTGAAGTTGAATTGAATTTGAATTGAATATAGACTCATTAGAGAGGAGCAAAGGATTTGGAAACTACAGACGTGTATAGCTTTAGTCTTGATATTGAAGGTCACATGCAACCAAAAAATCAAACATAATTAAAACACAATTATCACTTCTTCATGACATATAATATACATTGCTGGTTACGAAAAAATGTATAAACAAAATTATAAGCGTACAATCGCAAATCGAAAGTGCAAAATTGTGTACTTCGGTTTACTTCCCAAGAAACGAAGCAACCGGGATACCGAACCCAGTCACAGCGGGTGGGTGTGCACTCAAGTGTAACGGCTGGTTCATTTGCAGATGCCTTCACGGCTAATTGTGTGTGTATATATATATAGAGATGTTGTGTTTTGTAAATACATGCTCATTTTTTGTGTATAACATTTTACAATCAACAGACATCATAACATGTCATGTGTTCAAGTATCACACCTGCCTGTCTGTGTAATTACATAATGTGACAGAGACCGAACTCGGGCCATAAATCATGCATTTTGTTTATGGTGTATAGCCTGATTGGTGTTAAGTTCAAATTGCATGTGGTCAGTGATAGCAGCTGTGTATTGAATATTGTCATTAGCAGACAGGCAGGCAGACACACAGGTGTCAATAAAACAAGACATTGAGTTTTGTCTGTGACAACGACATATCTATATCACAGTTAGAAATTCTGTCAACGCTAAATAATGACATTGCTTTTAAGTATCGAACTGAGAAAGTGTCTCGGTAAGAAGAACGTATGGTGAAATAGACAAATGAAATTATATAAACAGTTAATTTACTGTCATAACATATGAAAAGCTCGCGCCTGTGAGATATCAACAAAACATTCTGAAAATAGCTCACACCAAAGCCTTCACCGAGTATTCACCCGACAACCCGCTTCCAAGCTGTGCGAACCTATTTACTTGCGCACGTGCTATGAGCGCAGCCCAGCTGTTGAAACCCGTTTTCCCCAGAAAAGTCTGGGGAAAATTAGTGAATCGTTTGAACTCCGATTTCGCGCATTTTTTTCATCGCGTTATTTTTCAACTTTATAAGTTGAATTTGCATTTTTTGACGATTTGTCCATACCGAAAGGTATCAGAATCTGCAAAGTTGTGTTTTACGTTGCATGTGACCTTTAAGAATATTTTGCATCTTTTGACAATATTATATATTGCTATTCATCAATAGAAGCGACAAAACCCTTTCCACATCCATAAAAAATATCTGCTCAAAGCAGAGTCGTTTGTAAAATTGTGACTAATCATGAGTATATACTTGTATCAGCAGTATTACAGCCGTAAACAATCGACTCTGGCCCAGACAATCCAGCGATTGTTGCCAAGCGATACTATGACAGAGCATGTGTCAGTGAATCACTATGAAATAGTGGTGATAGCAGGTGTTCACGAAAAGATGAGCGTATCGTTCCCCACCGGAGGCACCCGTCATAAACACATGCTTAGTCTACTCAGTTGTATAATTCGGGAACGTATGGTATATGTCAAAATTGCATCGGACATTGTTTTTGTCACTGAACCATCAAATTTCCTCCCCATGTCTACCATGAAACAATTATTGCCCATGGGGATGTCTACTTCATGGCCAAATGTTTTACCCTAAATTTTACAAAGGTGTTATCAATGAGAAATATTTCACTCATCGTTTTCTCTGTAAACTTCCAATGGCATTTGCTCTCATTATTGACAAAGTGTCCTGAGTGAGTGAGTTTAGTTTTACGCCGCTTTAGCAATATTCCAGCAATATCACGGCGGGGGACACCAGAAATGGGCTTCACACATTGTGTCCATGTGGGGAATCAAACCCGGGTCTTCTGCGTGACGAGCAAACGCTTTAACCACTAGGCTACCCCACCGCCCCACAAAGTGTCCTGAACCTATGAAGATAGGTGTGTAGGTATTTCATTGTTCACCGCGTTTGTTTATGCCCCATTGATCAGGGAATGAATGTTTTCCCTTAAGTTAGTCATATACAACGCTGAAATGTTTCTGAGGTTTTGAGAATCCACATGCTATTAATTCCGCATGTCTTAAAATCTTTCTGTGAATATCGAGAAAGTCCTAAGTCCTTCCTCGATAGTATTAAGGATTATGGATAATCTTTGAGACAGGGATTTGGTGGTACATTTGCTGGAACCAGCAATATATCTCTCCTTGCAAAGAATTGTATGTAGTTTTGGAATCAAGTACAAAAGAGGAGTGGATATGTCTTCAGGTTTAAGAGTCAAGTCAAACGTTGATAACACCGTTGAGTGGTTTAGGCTAATACCTATATTTCTAGTATCGTATATTTCCACCTCGCAGAAACTCAGATTCAGCACCCCTACTGTAGGTTGGCGATATATCGGGAGATGGAACCCCGTCACGGGTACATCACACTCCAGGGTGTACTCTGGTTCCTACATGTAGGAAGAGTCCGGGATGTGACATATTCTTCCATCTACCTTCACAAATACGTCATCCTGTTGATCTGGAATATGTTGAGAAGAATGAACCTAATACCTTACTCTAAATACATATTCGGGTGTGTTTTAGCGTTGCTGTAACGTAATAGATTTCAAAGCTGGTCAATTAATGTTTAAGATGTCTCATATAAAGTACTTGTCCGATATAAAGACCTTGTCAGTATTAGTACTATTTGTCAGTATTAGTACGCATTCGTTATCTTGTGTTTATGGTCACACAGTACCTTCCTAGAATATCTTGATCCTGGTAACTGTCCTGTTCTGTGTAAACTCCGCCTCCCATGCTGGGTATATGGACGAGACTGATGCACACGGCCCTGACGTCACACCATCAGTAACCAAGGATGCCTGCCCCATGATCGTGTAAGTATTGTTGTCCACAGATTTAAAGTTACTCGCTGCTATATTAACTGTAATAATAAACAGTATCATTATCTGAGGTAAAGTGCATCACATTCCAATATGGGGATTCAGGTAGGAATTACTTTACGTACTGTATGTAGAATCCAGAAAGTGTTCTTTCACTTGGTGTGTCATCTCGAGTTGCTTAAAACTTTAATATATGTTGTACCTAGTTGTCAGATTGCTAATTGCTTCTCGTGCTATATTCACTTTAACAATAAACATAGTCATTATCTGTAAATAACCCATTTCAATATGGGGATTCAGGTAGCGATTACTAGAAGTATTGTCTGCAGTATCTAGCATATGTTTTTTCACTTCAGCTTGTCATCACGAGATGCTTCAAATTTTAAAATATATATATCTTGGATCAGCTTCGAGCATTAGTCGACTGTTATGTCTTCGTCTCCTTTAGATTTGATGATATTGTATTCTGCATCACATTGTTTATGCTGTGTTGAAAGACATCTTGCAAATACCAACAGCAACTCTGCAACTTACACTCTTGTGGGTAACAGGTAGTAAATGCCTAGACATAAACATAAATGCTAATATAAACCCTAAAATAATAGCGACGCTATTCGAGTGCACATAAAGTCTTCTTGTGAATCATTCAAAAAACATATCCTGTTGGCCGTTATAGACAAAATATTAAATCAATAGATAACTGAAACCAGGTGTAAATTGCAATCATGATCTGTCCTACCTGTAGCACCTGTAATCAATACATTGAAATCAACGTTACCTAAGGTACAGTCCTGGGGACAGTTGGCGTCTTGGCTGGACACTGAAACACACACAGGCTTATGATGTGAATTTTAGCTGATAAAGCAGTCAATAAAATGGTCATTCTCAGAAACTCTTTGTTTCAAGGCACACGCATGTGAACGCAATGCAATTGTTACAGCGTATGTTTATTGCGAACTGTTTATTGTGGTTTATGTAAATACATGTATATGACCCCATTTGCTAAGAATGTAGGTATTTCTTTGGCATGTGTGTGTGTGTCTCACCTTGCGGGCTCCATACAAGCATCACAATCAAGTAAATAATGGCAGTGTTGGTCACCATGGCTACACACTTGCTGATTGTGACATGAAATCACTTCATCCTTGGAGACCAAACAAGTAAATCCATTGAGAAGAAGCTGGTTCAGAAATGAATCTATAACCACACCAGTGACAGTTATTCTATCCTGCTTTGGGCTACACAAACCTGCTGCTCACTTCCTCGCAGCCTTTTTGCGTAATGGCTCAACACATTGCTGGCAGATATTCATATATGCATTGATATATTCACGGAAATATATTCGAATCCCGAATACGGAACAAATACAGAGAGTCTGGTGTGCACAGTCATCGAACATTGCGTCCAATGTCCTAGGGTACACAATGAGAAATGTTCAGTAGAAAAGGCCACAGAGTAGATTCGCTGACCTGGTTGTCATAGTGTCCCAATTGCGTAGATCGATGCTCATGATATCAATGACTGGATTCGCAAGTCCAGGCTGACGGAACGACAAATTTGCAGCAACGAAACAAAATGTCCAAAGTCAAATGTCTCAATAGTACGTGAGTGAGTTTAGTTTTACGCCGCATTCAGCAATATTTCAGCTATATGACAACTCTGAATAGAAAGGGTACTTTGGGGGATTTGTTACTATCATGTTCTCCTTCTGTTGATAAATATGTCTGCATGAAACATTAAGTAGACACTGCTTGTAGATCGCAATAGTGCAGCGGTAGGATGTCTGCCTTTCACGCTGAAGGCCTGGGTTCGATCTTCGGTGGAGGCACCTTGGTTCGAGTCCCGAGGTGGGCACATTTGCGTAGTATCCTTGAACAAGATACTTAGTTCCACAGTGTCTCATTTCACCCAGCTGTAAAATGGGTATCCGTGAGGATGTGCTGGCAATGTGAGTGCTTAGTTCATTGCGCCTAACAGGCAGCGTGGCTGTATGATCCCCAGGGAGTTGGCAAAATATCGGAAAGTACAATAGTGTCCTATGACCAGGGATATAGAGAATACTACACGAGGTCTCAGTTCATACGAATTATATGAAACGAGTGTCCTTCCTATGGTATCTGACCGACGTCTTACATGCATTAAATTGACAACATAGCGTAATTTAGTTATGTTTTGGTTTCAAACCGAAACCGGTTTCATAAAGAGGTTGCGGAAGAGTTTTGTACTGTAGTGCAATATGTGCATGACGTCAGAGTGCAATGACGTCACTGCCTTGGTAACCGACGTCACGATGCATGTCATTTGCCATCGCCTTGTACAGCCTCCTACAGTAAACTACTCAGTACCACCTCGTTTCTTGGTTTCCAGTTGCTTTATTCGGCTAACATCACTGGTGGAAACATTGCATTTATGGTTTTCGACGGATATAATGTCTCAGTTCTACTCACAATTAAACAGCGACACGGCAACGTTCGCAATGTTTACATTCCCACAATGCATTTAAGTTGTAGAATGAATGAATTCACATGTTTGTTATGAATGAAAAAATAGTTACGTCAGAATGTGACCTAATTGAGAGGTCATCGGTTATCCAATCAAATCGTTAGAATTTCAGGTCAAGTCGTTACGACACAGGTCAACGCGATACGACACTCGTGTGACGTACGAGATTAGTATGCAACTACCATTTCGGGGTTGAGTAGCTATGACACAAAGATCAAGTGAAGTGTAACAGTTGCAACAACATGGAAAAAACTGTCACATTGTTAGAGTAGCCTGTGCTAGTGATGGTGCTATTCGTGAAATCCTGATGCCTATACTGATTCTCTGTGATTTAATCATATTTGTTACTCCTACTTTGCTGTTTACACCCAGTGGAATATGTTTCGTTTGATATCCAGGATTGGTTATTTTTTTAACATTGACGTCTCATATTTAGACTCGAACTGCCCACGCACATGAGTACCGATTTGTGACCTGCAAACAACGCCTTGGTGTAACATGTCTGTTAGTGTCCTCATGGTCCCTAGAATCATTACTAGTCTTAGATTGAAATCTGTGATAAACTAATTATTTTACTATTTATGTGTATTATGAAGTAATAACTTGTTTTTAGTCACGATTTGGCCTGTGTGACTTAAAATATTAACTCACTCACTCACCCAGTATCCTCCTGTGATATTTATAGAGCAGCTACCAGGGTGTAATCAGTTGTTACATGATCTGCTGTGACAGTTGAGTCATTTATGGGAGATAAAAAATTGTAGCTTATCCTTAGTTTGATCATCGATTTTCTGGGCGTACTAGCCATGGAAGCAAAGAATATATGTTTTATGAGAATGTCACAACTAGTGTTGCATAAAGAGCCAAAGAACTGGAGTTTATCAATGTCGCCAATCATGGTTCACAATCCAATGTTTGCAATATTGGTTTCAGGCGGAGATCTCTAATCTAGTTCCTGGACAGTTCGGGCAAAGTAACGCTGTGTGTTTTGTAGCATTAAAGGTCAAATAAGCGACGAGACAGTCTTCGACATGGTGTCCTACATCAGGCCAGTCTTCCAGTCACATTGTAATGGCTGTTGTAGCGGAATATGGAAACGTGTTCTAGTCAAGGCTCACTAGATCTGACCCCTACTGACTATGAGGTGTTTGTAAATTTGAATATTCAACCCATACGTTATTACAATGACTTGGTTGTTGTCACAGATGACTGGTTGATGAGCATTCGAAAGACAAAAACATCCCACTTCCAAAAACATACGTCAACGAATTATGTTATGTGTTCGAAAACGTGGTCACTATGACATTTCATATTTGGCCATCCTCCGTAACCCCCATATGGGCAAAGTACAAGAATAGGATGGTCTTCATGGAAGACACTGCAACAGTAGTAGCTCACTATGCGATTTATGTTTCACCTGAATGACGGCAGGGAGCAATCTTATGTGCGGATATTTAGGGCATTTTCGTACAGACTCAAATCAGTAGTATTAACATACATGTTTGATTCTCCCGCTGCTTCACCGATGTCTTGATTATTAGACCAACGTTGACATAGCATGATGTTCCAGTTGACACATTCTGATCATTAAAGTATTCGTTGTTCACATAGGTGTATTCGTTTTCATTAATGTTCTCATAGCTGGTAGAAACTGTCGTGTTAACATTAGTGGATGTCTGATTTGACCATCCCCGTGGTGTTCTGTGACTTTGTATGATCTGGGCCCTGTTCCTCAAAGCGATCGTAGCGCTAAGATGATCGTAACTCCCATTCTTTAACATAGACTTACGACAGTCGTAGCGCTACGATCGCTTTGAGGAACGTTGCCCTGGTATTGAGTGTGATCAGAGGGTTCAGCTACACACAGTTCATAAGATGGCGTAACTGCTTCTCTAGCGTCCTTGGCTTGGGACCTTTTTCCTTTCTGTCTCCTGAAACATCGAATTATGAATATGATCTTACAATGGTGCTCCCAAACAATATTAAAAGATCCGGTTCCGTTGAAAGGACCACACCGATGCTGATAGAAGAGAGGTACTCATTTCATTAATATTCTACATCTTGACAGAGGTGTTATTTAAATGTGTCGACGAAATGTTGCCTCTGCCCAAATGTGCAGTGGAAAAAAGTATAGTTTCGCCATGAATTATTCCAGTAAAAGCATGAGGACCGTTGTGTTCGGATGTTTTGACATTATCGTTGCCATTAACAGTTCCGGTGAAACGACCAAACCAAATTCCTCTGATGGAACAGAGGTACTCATGTCATAAATATTCCACATCTTGACATAGGTGTTATTTATATGTGTCGACGAAGTCTCTGAGAAATGTTCCCTCTGCCCAAATATGCAGCGAAATAAAGTATAGTACCATGAAGTATTCCAGTAAAAGCATGAGGTCCTTTTTGTCAGGATGTTTTGACATTATTGTTGTCAATAACAAAGGGGAGGAAATTTGAGATCAACCTATTACTATTGTAAATTCGTCCCCTTTAATCTTCCAGCGAAGCATTTTATGTATGCTATATTATCTTAACATACACATTTGTATCAGAAACATACTTCTTTTAGAGTTGTTGATAGCTGCACCATACCTCACACACACAACAGCAACAACCGCAACAGTGACGACACCAGCAACCACAGCACCCGTGACAATGACGTATAGTAACGGGAACCTGCTATCGGGGGACTCTGAAAGTGTAGGATACATTCAAGCGAGGAAATAAAACACATTACACATTAATACATTGAACAGGTAATTTTTGTATGTGAAATAGACACTTTTATGCCGCATTAATATCCTTTTCAACAATGACATGCTTCTTTTGGATGAACATATTTCTTCTTATGTGAGTGCATGCGAGTATAATATATATATATTACATACGTGCCGGGTTTGCACGTGAGATAGTACCACAATACAATACAAACACAAAAGGTCAGCAATATAAATCGGCCTTGATCATCTGCAGTGATTAACAAGAGTGAAAGACTCGAAGTGACATAGTGCCAGTTATCATAGTGTTGGCCAAGTATACAATATAAATGTATATTTAATTCATGGCATAAATATTCATCTCAAACTCCTGCTTTTGAAATGTCACGTGCAAAGATAAACTTTCTCTAATCCTGCTTGTTTCAATAAATACAATATCATTGGGAGATTTAAAATGTTTATTAATTGCGCAATTACAATTGACAGTAACTACAACCTGCAAGAATTTCGCACTCTTTCATTGTCTTTAACTCGTCCGTTTTTGAAGAACCCCCAAAACCTATACATCACTTCCTTTACCTGCTGCACCAGATGGAGGCGTGGATGGTCGCTTTAAAGTTATCACAGTAATATTGCACAGACTAAAAGCGAAATATATGTAATTTACAAAGGTTGCAGAGCTGCATTGACTACCTCCTTAGCAAGGGGGTAGCCTAGTGGTTATGGCGTTCGCTCGACACGCCGAAGACACGGGTTCGATTGCCCACATGGGTACAATGTGTGAAGCCCATTTCTGGTCATATTGCTGGAATATTGCTAAGAGCGGCGTAAAGCCAGAAGTCACTCTCTCCTCCTTATCAATATCGCAGTTCATCGGCTTTAATGGGTAATACACTCTGGGAAGTATATTAATAT